AAATAAAAAAAAAAAAAAATCAGCAAATATTTAATTTCATTTTCAATTGTAAGAGAAGATAAAAATGCCAAAAAAAAAGCAAAACAAACAAAATGATAACATAAACAAATCGATAAACAAATGAATAAACTAATGAAAAAATAAATAAAATTGAAATGTTTAAAGAAAAAAAAAAAATTTTATATTATGCTAACCTTTTTGTATCATTATGTTGTTGTATAATTGAAGTTGAAAGTGTACTATTTCGTTTACTTTGATTAAGGCTACTTTCACGTGAAGTAGTTGTAGGAAGTGTTGGAAGGCCAAGAAGAGCCTGATCACCACTAACAGTAAGTTGTTGTTCAAGAGCTGATAGCTCACCTAATAAAGTATCCAATTCCCAATCACAACTTTCTGAAATTTATTTTCCTTTAAATATTTATTTCAAATTTTAACAAAAAATTAAATTAGGAAATTTATTCAAATTTCTAAGCAAAAATTATCATTTCCTATAAATTATAAAAAATTAAACAAAAATTTACAAATTATTGCAAATCATTTTGTATATAACATTAATGATTTAATCATATTTACTTATAATTTTTATTCTTTTCAACTCTTTATGATATTAACAATCATTAAACATTCCCTGCTTTACCTAATTTATTTTCAGTTAATTGGTATTTTATAAAACTTAAATAATTGTTGTTTAAGAAAAAGAAAGGAAGAATTTATGACTAATTATCAAATTACATTTGCGCATACTTTTTGGAAAGTAAAACTGTCAGTTCTATAAGAAAATGCTTTAATTAGCATGAATATTTGTTCAGGTACTCAAAACTTACCTTATTCAAAATAGAAATAAGAAAGAGGTTAAAAATAAAAATTCGATGACAATTTTGTGACAAAAATTTTGTCAACTATTTATTTTTAATATTTTGTTAAATCTATAAAAAGTAAATTTGAATGCAAAAAGCTAAAATTATGGATTAAATTGAAAAGCAAAAATGTTCAATGATTGCAAATTCCACAAGGGATTTAATTTAAATTTGAATTGTAAAATTTTGGAAAATTCAATAAAGTGATAAAGTAGTAAGCTAGAAATAAACAAGAAGAGAGAGAGAGAGAGAGAGAGGGAGAGAGTAACACTTCAACTGAATCAAGTTGAAATTTTCAGTGGATAATTTTCAGTGGAAAAATTAAACAATCATTCTTGATTACAAGATCTGTGTAAAGTTAACATCCCACTTATTACACAACTACTAATGATATGAAATTATTTTGGTGACATTTGTATTCGTAAGCTTTTAAATAACGAATTGAATTCATAATTTCTACACTAACTAATTTCTTGGCCAATTTTTGAGTGGCCAAGAAATTAAATTGTTAGATATCAATCCTAACTAGACTACTTATTTGCTACATTTATTTCTCATTTTTCAATTTATTTTAATACATTCAACGTTTATTGATATGAATGAAGAAATGAGCCAAATTTAATAAAATCATTAATAAATAAGGAATATTTTATTTAACAAAATATTTACTATTCATAATATTATATTCCTTATCTTTCTTATCTTTTACTGATAATTAACCATAAATTTATACATCATATACATACAGAGGAAAAAAGAGAGAGGGAGAGAGGGAGAGAGAGAGAGAGAAGAAAAAAAGAAGGGAAAAACTGACCTTGTACATTCGCCATGCTGTATCTGACGGTGTCCATCTGTGGTTTCGGTGGTATATGAGGGCGTTGACGTACCCGGATCACATCTCGAGCTCCACCTCCTTCATCTATTGCTAGATCTGCTGGTGCTGCTGCTGTATGTTGTAGAAATGCAATTGGTGTTGTTGATGGTTTTATTGAGGATGATGATGATGATGATGATGATGATGACCCAAGGATCTGTTGTGGTACTACTGCTACGGAACCCTGAAGTTGTTGTTGTGTTCGTGGTACTCCTTCTGCTAATTGATCATTTTGCTCTTTTGACTCCTTCATATTCCCAAATCTTTGATTTTCCATACTAAGTAAAAAAAAAAAAAAAAAGGAAAAAAAGTTTAAATAATTAATTTATGATTGTAATAATTTTCAATGCAGTTAATTAATTGATTGTAATAAAAATGTAACAAAAGAGGAAATTTTGTTTAAAATTTGAAAATTTGTCTTCTTAAATTTTAAATTCTTTTTTAAACGACAAATTTTTCCCTCTCAAAAAACATAAAAATAATAATAAAAATGAAACATTTGGATAATTTTAATAATAAAATTTGCAAATGATTAATTATAATATGCAAAAATGAAAAAAAAAAAATCCATAATAAGTGCAATGTAATTTTAAGCAATACGATAATAGCCCAAAATTATTATATACAAAATCTAATAACTGAATTAAATTTAGGAAAATATTTGCAAAAAATCCCTATCGTACAAATATCATTTGTTATATTAATTATAGAAGACTAATTAAAAGATAATTTTTAATTAAACTTTTTCAATAATTAATTTAATTATTTAAAACCGACAAATAAAGATGAAGTCACATTATAACAAGAACAACAATAATAGTATATATAAATTGTCAACAAAAATTTCCAATAGTTTTTAATTGAATTTAAATGTTTCTAACATTCTTATTGGTTAAATTGTTTTTTTTCCTTTCTCTCATTAACTTCATCTTTACTATTTACCGGTTTTAAGAGATGACATTTTGTTCGTAGAAATCAAATAGATACATTTTTTTTTTTTTTTTTTAAAAAAAGGAATAACTCTTTTTCTCTAATTAAATTAAATTTTTTTCAATTATTACACAAAACAAAAAGTTGTAATAATAGTTGAATGAATTAATGTTGAAAAAAAACAATACGACAATGAGAAGTTTAATTTTTGATTTATAACTTTCTTTCTCATTATTTCTTCTTCCTATTACCATTTCATTCTATCATATTTTTTCCTCTTTTTATTTTTGCTCTCTTTAAGTTTGAATGAACCTTCTTCGGTTTCTAATTTTTTGACATTTGAATAAACCTTCTCCGGTTTCCAATTTTTTAACATTTGAATAAACCTTCTTCGGTTTCCAATTTTTTAACATTTGAATAAACCTTCTTCGGTTTCCAATTTTTTAAATTCGAATAAACCTTCTTCGGTTTCTAATTTTTTAACATTTGAATAAACCTTCTCCGGTTTCCAATTTTTTAACATTTGAATAAACTTTCTCCGGTTTCCAATTTTTTTCTTTTTTTTTCTTTCAGGAAACGGAAAAAGGATAAAGTAATAGGAAAGAAGCAAAATGTTTACTATCTTTTTCCTCTTAAACGGAATAGTAATTATGAATGATAAAATTTAAAATTAATCTCATTTTACTATTTAATACGCAAAAGAAATATTTTAGCAAAATTGGCGGTCCATTTATTACTATCAATTAGTAAACTTTTTAACTCTTATGGTATTATCCTCTAAGAAGGATCTTCAAAAGTATAGCCGATACTTCAATTTCACTTCGAATTCTGCTTCATAGGTAACAGCTGACTCAGTGTCTAATTACTTTCTACGCTCATCTCGAAAATGGAAGGGTGACAAATGTCAGTTGTAGATGAAGATCAACTCCGCAAAGATCACATACATACTAACCAGCAACTGACCTTTATCTAGCATTCCAGGGATTGTCCATTATTTCAAACTTTCGTAAATTATCAAATTTTTTTTCTTGTTTTTCTTGGCTAAATCTCGACAGAGAACCATTGTAAGATAAAGTAAGAATAACTTTCCCATTTTACCTTCGCTTACCTGAATTCTTTCAATCTTCCAATAAAATAATTTTCACATATCTTATAATAGATATTGAAAAATATTTAAAATACAAGGACAAAAAAATTGGAAAAGCATGAAATCCTGTAAAATTCAGGTAAATTTAGTTGCCATTAATTAAATAATTAAGAATTATTTTTACTCCAAATGGTAAAATTTAAGGAATGATATGCGAGAATAAAAATTAAGCCTGGATTAGTTTTTAATCATGAAAATTATCAATGAAAAGGAAATAGTTGACAGTGCTCAAAAGACTTTTTTTCAAAGATCAAAATTCATGATCAATTTGAAGATTGATAAAAGCTAATCAAGATTGATAAGAAAGAAATTTATTTGAAAACTGTCCCGAAATTGTTTTTACATAAATATTCCAATACTTTCAACCATTTCATTTTAAACGATTGAAAGGAAATAGGAGAATGGTGTAACTGATTATTTGCTAAAAGAGCAGAACTCATCAATTAATCAATTAATTTAACTTTGATCAATTAATTTGCTCAATGAAACTGAAATAATTAATCATAAATATCACAAATTGATTACAAACTCATCAGATGAAAAATAAGAGATATGAATGATATCGAGAGTATCGAGAATTTTATCATATTCATTAAAGGTTAGAGTTAACGGAGAGTTACACTCTAATAATGCTGACATTTTCAACATAAAATGAACCTTACTATTTTGACAATCTGTCAACAGTGTCACATCATTAAAAGTGGCATAACTGAATAATTCCATCAAAGAAGATTTGATGACTGAAAAGGAATGTATTTTATGGGAGGAAGAAAAGAAAGATTCTCTCCTTTCAAAGTCAATTATTTTGCGCTTCAGCGCTCATTTCACACCTTAATATTCAACGAAAAGATTGAAAGAGACAATGTCACAAAAGGCTTTTTCAATGTCTTGTCATATATGAAGTATATTTACCTCAATGAATTTGCAATAAATGAAAAACATATAGTTGACCTTTGAACTTCGGGAAAATTTTTAAAGACAAAAAATGTATTTTATTAAGTAAATAATGCATGTTAAATAATTAATTAACTCATTAACACTTCAATTTATCCCATTCATATTTTAGCGATTCAATATGACGAAAAGTTCAATCAATCGATAAGCGGAAAATTTGCCATACGAAATGGACGAATGGACAAATGGACAATTAAAAAGTAAAATTGATCGATTACTGTACATTGATGTCCTTTTTCTGTACGAATATTTCCTTTTCACAATTTTGCTGCAATTTTTCAAAAGTATAACTGATTTGAAAAATGACATTTAAAGGGAAAAGAAAAAAAGGCAATAGACGACATTTCGAAAGGAAAGATTATGACAAATATTAGGGAATAAAATTAATTTCAAAAATGTTTAGTCATATTTTTATTAGTTGTTAGAGAGAAAAAGAAATAATATGTTGCTTAGGGAGAGGAAAGAATTGAATAAATTTTAATTATTATTATGAAAGTAATTAAAGTTAAAGAATTAATGAGAGAGATATACACAGTACAATAGTAGTTTCTGTTAGTTTTTATATTAAACCTAAATGATTCCGGAATAACCGGATTATTCCATAAACGGAAAATGGTATATTCCGGTTTTTTTTTTCTGTTTATTGCAATTTGAATGAAATAAAATTGAACAAAATGACCATGCACTTCATTGTTTGTTTTTTATTTAAATCATAAAAAAATGGTCAATAATTGTTGAAGGAACGAAAAAGAGTAAATTCAATTTTTAGCTTTTCTCTCTCTCTCTCTCTCTCCTCCTCTCTCT